AATTGATAGTGTTCGCAGTCTTAAGAGTGTTACGGTTGTGAGAAACTGCGAGTACGGACACGCAGATCGCTGATAAATCCGAAGGCTCTTGTTGACAAGCCGACTTGATGTGTAGTATATTGATGAACGAATCGGAATATCGTTTATTTCTTCTTTTCTCTCCATCATCGTCTAGTGCAACTCAGGAGGGACAGCAGAAGAGGTCGAGGGTCAAGTTTTAGAATTACGGTCTATTATGATATTTGCACTGCTCTAATAATAGACCTAATCCTAAAATTGTAGATTTACCATGATGTAACTGCCTAATCTATAAGATCTTACGTGGAAGTTACATCATCGTCTACACCGATTCATTGCATTGTAACAATCACCAATACGTGATAGAGAACGAGCTTAGGCTAGAGATAGAATATATTTAATATGAATAGAAGACACAAGATAACATTCAGATGGACCACGCCTGCAAGGCCGAGCCATGCCATCCGATGAACTCGGACTAATTCAATTTATTATTCCCGCCTTCTCCATTCTTCTGTATTTCTCCGCGTTAAATGTTTAATGTCTATTTCTCATATTGTCTCGTGGTAGGGCCCGATGCCACTACAAATTATAGGCCTTATATGTGACTGGAACAAGAGTTACCATTGTGGAATCAAACGCCGGAGTCTATTTCTAAAAGACGTCGTGTCTTTCTTTTAGATAAACTTATTCTGGGGATGTCTGACAGCATGAAAATACAGAATAAGATAGCTTGTAGCCTTCCATCACAATAGACGAATGCCAATTTTCAAAATCTTGTAGTTGTTAGACAATAATCTGTATTTGATTATGTTGTTAAGCCAACAATGTCGATCCACTTATTTCGGAATCACAACATTTCATGATCATGTCTCATGGTGACCAGGCTATTTTGGCTCTTTAGTCACGACAGAGAAAAGATAAATCTTACCAGTAGGATTTTAATCCAAGCATAATGAGAAGTCGGTAGTATCTGTAAGAAAACTGTTGCCTAAAACCATAGTCAGGATTTCCGATACTAATCTTAAAACAGTCATATTATAAAGATTTGCAAATTGAGTAATTACTACTGCCGCCACGAATAACATAAAGGTATTTATAAACTCAAGATACTCTTGATCCATTAGTCAGAAGCCACTTACACCAACACTGTTTTTCAGAGAATAGATATGATAATTAGAAGTATTCGAACTGCTTTGTTAACTAAGAACTCCCAGAATAGTTCGATTTGCAGCAGGTAGAATTAGATAAGCACATTTGAACATATTTTATTCAGAATTTGTAATAAGCGCGCGGTCAAGTACAAAGGAATCATAAGTCAGTGGAAATAGTGAAACAAACCAGCTGTGGAAATTGTTGAAAGGAGATGGTGTGAATAAGACATATTTTGTAAAAAGTAGTAAACTACATCTCAAGGCAGGCCTGAAGTCGTAATCCTCGAGCAAAGGGTGGATTCGAAATCCTTTGTCAGTTGATTGTGCATCAAAAAAAGTAACAGACTGAGTTAGGCATGAAACATGTCCAAGAAGCGACCACGTTTATCTGTGGATCGAATTGTAGAGCCAGTGAAATGTAACCGGGCCCCAGATAAATCATCCGACAGTCGGATCACTGAATATCGAACAGTCCACCGATCTTCGTCACGGTCAACTACAACCAGCCCACATCAGGTAACTATATGTCATTGACTGGTTTATACGGTGATGGTCGCAATTTACGTCTTCCATCTACATCTGCCAATTATATTTCTGTAATAACATCGTTTGCGTTGCATGGTCATCAAAGTAGCTATAGTCCCTGAAAAAAAAGCGCAATCCATCTTAGGTACTAACTGATGTGATTTCGCCATTACCTTGTTGGTCACACTTTCCTATCCGAATCGGATAGGCGCCCAATCATTCGACACAGACCAAATACGTTAGTGATCGACCGAATCATTGATTAATGTTGGTCAGTGTTCACCTCGACATAGTTTGATTAATGCTTTAACATACACAAACGTGGTGGAGAAACTGTAGAAGAGGTGGAAACGTCCACATATGTGGGCAGCACCATCGATGAACGTGGAGGAACTGTTGCAGACTTAAAGGTGAGGATTGAAAAAGCAGCAACAGCATTCCTACAGCTGAAGAACATATGGAACTCAAAACAACTATCAGTCAACGTCGAAGTCAGAACCCTCAATACGAACGTCAAGATAGTTCTACTGTACGGAGCTAAAGCGTGGAGAACTACCATAACAATTACCAAGAGAGTATTAGTAATTCTAAATGGTTGTCTACGCAAGATACTCAGTGTTCGTTGGCCGACTACTATCAGCCACAGCCTACTGTGGGAGAGAATAAATCAGCTTCCGTTTAGAAAAGAAATTAAGAAAAGACATTGACAGTGGTTAGGACACACATTGAGGAAATCATCGAACTGCATCACGAAGCAAGCGCTAACTTGTAATCCTGAAGGGAAATGGAAAAGAGGAAGACCAAATAGTACACTGCGTCGAGAATCGGAAGCAAACATAAAAAGGGTGAATAGTGAATGGAAAGAATTGGAAGGTGTTGCCTAGGATAGTATTATATGGGGTGTGCTGTTGGATGGCCTAGGTTTCTCCATGAGGAGTTCCTTAGGTAAGAAAGCTTAGCATCCAGTTATCATTCACTCATAGTAGTAACACGTTGGATCATGCCCCATCACCTCCCCACAAATCAAATTTCATTTAGTAGCTGATCATATCTTCCTACATATATAACTGGGAATTGTGAAGCAGGCCATAAGTTTATCAATAATTCGGCCGTTTACAGTATTCATTCTGAAAGGTGATCTCTGAGAAATTGCATATGGAAGAGGATATGTACAGGTACTTTCCTGCTTGTTCTCATCTGGAATGCTAGCTCTACTCAAGTGACCACATGCTACCAGATATTCTTTAGTTAGTTGATTATCCTCACCGTTTACCCGCGATACTTACACTTCTTTCTATTTACTTTGTTTTGGTTTTTGATCGATTTGTTTACATAGTTAGAAAATTGTCTACTCCTAGCTATTCTGGATTATATGTTTCTATTATTCTTTACACTGTGTGATCCAACCTCTTGCTTTGTAATATGATAGCGGCTGGATGCAGAAATATTACTATCCTGAAACTAGGCACTTGCTTAGACCACAATACTCCCGGACATTTCAACCGACCCACATCAACTATACTGATGACGGCTTCATCTGCAACTGCACAGGACTTTCCGTAGTGAACCTGAGTGCTGACTTGGTGCTCCGAAAACTGCAGCACCTAAGAACAGACACTTCTCCTGGTCCAGATATGGTTCATTCTGCTATACTGAGGGAAGCAGCTTCAATCCTGGCAACACTGCTTAGCGTGATGTTCTCATATCACATAGATTTTCAAGGGAGGTCGATGCAGCGAATCTTCAAGTTACCGACCGGTGGCTCTTCTCTATATACAATCAAAAAATCATGGAGTCCCTGGTATACGATGGTATACACGACTATCTGCTATCCTTAAATTTCTTTTCATCCCAACAGCATTGTTTCAGGAAGGGTTACTCCTGTATGACGAACCTGCTGACTGCGGTGGACAGATGGACAAGCATCGTTGATCGTAAGCGGAAGTTGGTTATCATTTACTTTGATTTCTCTAAAGTTTTTGATAGGGTTAATCACATATGTCTTATCAATAAGCTCAGACAATTGGGTATCAAACCACCTTTAATTGGCTGGCTCAGTTCATATCTGACAAATCGACATTTTAAGGTCAGGGTAAAGTTCAATTTCCCACACGTTATGGAATGTCCTAGTGGGGTCCCCCAGGGCTCAGTACTAGGAACTCTCCTCTTCCTGATTTATATAAGTGATCTTCCTCAACAGGTAACGTCAGACATATTGCTCTTTGCCGATGACGTGAAACTTTGGAGAGAGATACGCAACCAAGAGGATATACAGGCACTTCAGGAGGATCTGACTCAACTTCAAAGTTGGACAGACGATAACGGACTTACCTTCAACACTTCAAAGTGTAAAGTAGTCCATCAGCGACACGTCGCAGATTACAGTTACAACTTAAGAAACTCCTCTCTAGTAGTATCCCGAGTCGAAAAAGATTTAGGAGTTCTGGTGCCCTATGACTTAAAGTCTTACGCCAAGTGTGACAGAAATGCCTCTCGAGTAAACCTTGCACTGGTAACATTGAAGCGCATTTTTGGTCAGTTTGACTGGAGAACTTTCCACATAATCTTCAGTAGTTTCATTCGTCTTCATTTAGAGTACGGAAACATAGTATTCCCTCCTACACTCCAATAGGATAAGGACACTCTGGAGCGTATCCAACGGCGAACCATGAAATCAGTTCGGGAACTCAAATTTAAACCTTACGATGAGCGCCTACAGTCACTTGACCTTTACCCATTAGAGTATAGGCGTCTTAGAGGTGACCTTCTAATGGCTTACAGTATCCTTAATACTCCTGGACATCCTATTAAACACCTACTTTAACTTAGTCCCAACACTAACCTTAGGAGTAACACCCAGAAATTAGAGATACAACATAGTAGAACGGACTGCAGGCAAAACGTCCACTCCTTAAGAGTTGTCAAATGCTTGAATTCGCTGCCCGCTGGGCTAGTCCAAGCGCCTTCCCAGGGGTCCTTTAAGAGGTGACTTGATCTATTCTTAAGGACTAAGGACAGTATCTTACTATGATTTACCAATTTCTTTTATCTAGGTTCTTGCCTGGAGGTATTTGTGATCCCCTGCTACTAGACACGGAAGCCTGTTAAGCGAAAGATTCTTCTATTCCGTCCACAACCATTTGAAGATCCTCAAATATGCAAACAACTATCGAATTAGAGCTAGTTAGATTGAGTCATTGGACTGCGGTGTCTTGGAAATAATCAAAGACCTGGAGCTGTGTAACAAAAACTAGAGCAACGAAGCCCATGGGCTTATTCGACGGTATTGCCAATTGAAACTCTGGTGATTTTGATTTTCGTCCTTGTCAGCCTTTTCAAAATCCCATCCATTGTTGCTAAGTTGGTTTGTCATTAACGCAGTTATACTTAAAAATCATCACATCAGTTTGTGTCGTTATAGATCTTAATAAATCTTCAGCGTTTTGGTCTTCAAACTGAAGCTTATCAGCTTAATCTTTTCGACATTTATTTCACTACGATGTGTTAAGACATGGCATTCAAACAATAGGATGACCATATGGTTAACATATGTTTACAACAGTAGGAGTCCATCTAGAAACACGTGGAAACTAATTCTACGTCTGTCGGAGATAAACCCTGGAATCCCAGAGAAAGAGTGGTGTAAAAGGACCCACAATTGTTGCCGACCTTAAGGACCATGAGACTTATTCCTTGCGTTTAGTTGTGTGATGAAAAGCTCAATAAATCTCCCCTCAAGTAAATCGATTGCGTCGGTCTGAGCTTAAGGGTCGTTTTGTAACATTCAAACAACAATGGCATAAGAATCCGGATATGTGAACTTATAATTTGTAGACAGACCGATCAGCTACAAAATCGTTTTGCTGAATCAACTTTTGCAAAGTGAGATGCTAATATCAAATCACTTCAACCAACAAAGTTTAGGGCGTACCCGTCTTCTCGATTTGTTATGAGGTTAATGAAGTTCGGGTGAGACTATAATTTTCGGACGACCTCTGAGTGACGTTAAAGTCACCTTGAGAGTGTCCACTTAATAACTATGACCAAATAAGAGTTACAAACCAGTATATAGAATTAGAATAATGGTTTGCAGCTGATGGTTAGGGTTAGGAATTAGATTTAGGGTTCACATCACGGACTGACACCAACTATAATGCCGAAACTCTATATAGCCAAATGTATAGGTGAATTTCGCGTCAAAATCTGAGACCTGTTGTTTTGTGCCTGATTGGTTCGTCCATAAATTATAGTCTCGCCGAAGTTCGCAATTTCTTCCAACGACATGTTTCTGAAATCCTGTAGATCACCAAGGCTGAATGCAGCTTCAAGGTTACAAAAGATAGCTATAATTTAGCGTTGAAAATTATATCTATATTCAAAAATCCAAAGTAAGGTACACACCTGATCTATGCGTCCACGTTCGGGTCTAGAATGGTGAGATGACCTTTGAGCGACGCTAAACTGACCCTGAGAATGTTCATTTACTAGTCAGGAATTAATAACGATTATGAACCAGTGTGAATTAACATAAGCTAGAATGCTAAAACGCTATTTAGTCAAGCAGATGAGTGAATTTTGAGCCAAAATCCAAGACCTGTCTTCTTATATCTGATTGATCCGTCCATAAATTATAATCTTGCTGTTTTTGACGCTATATTAAATTGATACTTCTGTAATCATTATGATGTCTTCTGTGTTTTCGTATAAACTGGGGAGAATGGTGATCGCTATCAGGCTGTTCGAGTTACCTCGGGCTCCCAAACTAGCCAGTATCGTAGTCAGTCTTATCGCTGAACCTATACAGCCGTCCTTGAAAAACTGAAAATATCTGATCAAGAACAGTTTATGTTCATTGCTTTAGGTTAGTTATATCTTTTACTGTTTTGATGGAATTCGAAGATCAAATCAGGCTGCTACTGAGTAGTAGGTAACTAAAGTTTAGCCTAGACCTAATTGAACTATTCATTATATTAATTTACTCATTGTTCAGGCTGCGTCGTTTGGGGATTTTTAAAGACAGCCTCTTTAAGGTTTGACACCTTAATTTCAATTTACCTATTTATTGTTACACTTCAATTGTACACAAATAGTAAAATATGCGATTTAATAAGTGAAGTCGCTACTTAGGATTCGTATGGTTATCATGTCTGCTTTTTTATATTTTACCAGTCTACTGAAATGGACATTATTTCTAATGGACACCAGATTGTTTTACGGCCTGTACAATAATCGTAGAATTGTGAAAACCAATCGAACATCTTATCTTGGATATTAAGAACGTACCTACAGCAAACCTGATTACGGCAACCAAGGTTAGCGTGATTGCTGATATTAGTAAACGATTTTACTCAACCTTAGTTGACATGTATTATGTAACACATGGAATTCCTGTTTTGGATCTTTTTCGTTCTTAATTTCTGTGAATTAATTTTTCTGGGCACAATTTGTCCTTTTTGAACTACTAGCATAATGTAGTCTACATAAAGCGCATTGTACATACTACTGCTCAGCGAGACGTAAAATTTCGGGATGTGTTTGCCATGTTTTCACAGTTTGGTGTTCTTATTGGAGGTAATGTTAATGTGTCATTTTTATAGAAGGCCGATGACAATCTAAAAACGATTTTATCTTAATGCGCACTCGACTTCTTTCCTAATTAAAACATGTTAGTAGCTATAATTTATTAAAATTCAAATTGAATACTCAAGTTATTGGCTCTTTGTTTGGATAAATGTTACCCCCTATCTTCCTGCTTACTGATAAAACAGCTGGAATATTAGGTGGTTAGAGTAGCTTGCCGGAAAGCCTTACCTCAGATTTCCTGTCAGTTGGCACTAATTAACACGGTATACTTGCAACTAGCACGAAACTTCAGTCAAGGGTTACTTGTCACCTGAAATCGCAACATTGTGCACGTGTTTTTGAGTCAAAGACTAGTGATCACGTAATATCTTGACCTATAGAATTCAATTAGCAATAAAGAACAAAACAAACATGTTGTTGTTCAATCCTTAGTGATCAAGTACTTGGAATATCATAGCACTGTTTATCTTCGATCTTATTGTTTGAATCCGGTTAATCTTACTATCTTACTACTAACTAAACAAGTAGCTATTCAGTTCACTCTGTTATTCAATTGAAATCGATAGGAGAAAGGAACTGAAATAGAAGTTTAGAAAAAACTAATGTTTGTCCAAACTGTAGAACTACTCGAAATGAAGAATCAGTACAAATTTTGATAGGTCAGTTATTCAGCGATGTGAATGCTTCACACCTTAGCACTTAAGTGTCTCAAAACGTGTCATATTTACTTCGACTACAAATCCCGGGTAGTGTCATTAGTTGTCAAAGTGGGTGTGGCTAATAACTCAGATAAATTCAGAAACCAAAGTCGTTTATGATTAAGGTGAATGTCGTATTGTGTTTGTATAACTAAATTGTATAGGCGGTAGTAGTTGTTGTAAAGTTTCTTTTCAAAATTTGTATTTTCAGTGAAGTTATGATCAGTACCTGTGGGTTAGCTAGAAAGGTTACGTTGTGATTACTGCAGGTTTTTATCTGGAATCTAAAATGATTAGTCACCAACAGTAAAGTTGATTCATTCAATACATTTATTTTGCACCATATTTCTCTTGTTCATCAGTACTATTCTTTTTATAGAGGACTTACGAAACTTAGGAATGAACAGAGTTGTGATGCTACTTGATATGGACTGTTTCTATGTTCAAGTTGAACAACGGGAATTTCCTGAAACTAAAGGGAAGCCATGTGTTGTTTCACAGTATAGTGAGTGGAAAGGTGGAGGGTTGGATCATTATTTTGATGATTTTTTATCTTTAGAGCTTTAGCCATAAGTTACGAAGCCAGGGCTCTGGGTATCAAGCGTGGGATGTTTAGTGATGAAATTCGAGTTCAGCATCCAGAAGTGATAATTTTTAAAGTTCCTGAGAAACGAGGTAAAGCAGAACTTACAAGGTCAGTAACTTAAATTTCATTTTGTGGTTGATTGTTTTCTGCAGATATCGGGATGCGAGTTCTGAAGTGATTCAGTGTATATCCGAATTCACTAGCGACATTGAGAGGGCTAGCATTGATGAGGCCTACGTTGACTTAACTGGTAAGCTGGTATTTTGATGTTTATAAACCTCCTAATAGGTATCGTAGATTCAGTCTTGGTCCAGGATGACAATTTGTCATCAATGCAGCCCAATCCAGAGTCTTACGTGTTAGTTAGCAGCGATATTGCTGAGGAGTCAAAGTTAGAACTTACCAAAACCAACTGTGTTTCTCTCAACGGTGTTGATTGGATCCAGTTGCTAGACTCTAACTTTGCAGAAGGAAGGCGATTAGCTGTAGCTTCTGAATTGGTATATCGCATTAGACAGTCTGTATTTACAAAAACAGGATTTAGATGTTCCGCTGGGATTGGTCCAAATAAAGTAAGCTGTTTTTGTGCTCTACCTCGTTTATTGTAGATAGTAAACAATTTGAAATTCACAGTAACTACTGAGTGATGTTTTCGTTCCTATTTTTGAGTTTTTTGTTTTTCGAAATAATATGGTGTATGTCAGAATGACATCGAAGCAGTGTTCCTTCTACGTAACTTATTGTAAACTACTGTATTTGCTTTTGCCAGTCATTAGGCTGCCAGTTCAAACTCTGCTACATCTACTTTGCTTTCGGTGGTGTTTGCACAATTAGGGCAAATCGCCGTTTATAAATCCACCTTGTACTTGGCTACTCAGTAGCCTGTGGTGTATGCTGCCTATACTGGCAGATATAAGTAGCTTGTAACAACAATAGGAAGTGGAATGCCTGCCAGCATAAGATTGAGTTAAGGTGAACAGGAAGGAAAACAAAGAGTAATTGGAGTAACGACAGAACTGGAAGATGTGCAAATAATGTATTTAATGTATGGTTTTCTTATTTTACAAGGGCATTGTGTAATTTTGCATAAAACGATCGATTGGTTTTCCCTACTGTATCTGAGTTTTCGTTCATCACACCACTACCTTGATCGTGCATTCCTAATTATAATTATAATTTAAAGCGGTTAGAAGCAGTCAGTGGTGACTCCTTGACACTAGCTGGTACTTCAGAAAGACGTGCTTATAACCTTTAGAGAACCTCAGCTAACCTACTGAACTTAGGTATTTACTGTAATTAACCGTTTGTTAACGACCTACTTCGTGCTTATCTATCCCCTATTGTTAGTCGAATTCTACTGATCGATTTTCAGTGCGGCTAACATTCCGATTTTTAATTATCGAACTCCGTTGTGATCTCATTGCTTAGAAATATGTTTGTCTCCCGCCAAATACAAAAATGTTACTTCAGGACTGGTCTGCGTCAACGTCTAAACTAGTAATCGGGAATGGACTAGTTTGGTATGCTGACCACTTCAGTTTTCTTGAAGATTTCATCTGCTCTGGTGGGTCGGTGTTTGACGAAATCTCGACACGGACTCAAAAACTACGATTGCCATTAGCCAGCTTGCATCACCTTCGGCATAAGTGAGATGACCGTCTGCCAACCCAAAGGACATATGTACTGTCTACCTGTCCTCTGTTATATTTTTTGGCTTTGAGAGATGATCTATTAAAGTAGGAGACACGATAGGTTGAAGGTTTCTGACCATAGGTATCTTCACAGAATTTCTCTCATTTCTTGGAATGATCGAGTGGGCAACGTTGTGGTTAGAAATAGGGTACTTAGTAAAGGTGGCAAATCTGTTGATGAGGTAGTGAATCTTCATCGACCTGAGATGCTGTTATTTAGTACTCAGTATAATAACTTGGCAATGTGACAGATGTCTTAATTGATGTAATGAAATTGATCACTTTAATGGCAGTATTCCCGTTCCATATTTGAAGAAATAAAATGAAACCTTTGGGTTGTTTCTAAACCACCTGAACAATATTTTTCTCCATTACTAAATTTAGAATTCACAGTTTCAATATGAAATTTTGTCGTTGTGTATTTAACAAATATAATATTTTCATTAAGAATATGATAGTAAACAAATTTAGTAGTATTCATGCAATAAGTGTCTATACTTTTCGTTATTGCAAAAATTCAACAGCGATAATCATGGTTGAAGTTATTAATGTAGAACTTAACGAAGTATTGTACTGCTTCCAGGTTTTCGATTGAGATTATTGGTAGTCAGCTCATGATTTTAATGAAACATTTTATTAGTTTGATTTGTATACCCATACCGAAAGAGAGAGAGTAAATTTAACTCCCAACTTCAGTTCTATCTATTCATTAACTGTCAGACTTAGATTCCTTTATTATTATTGCTTTCTTTTTTGACGTTTGGTAAAGTCGATTGCTAAATTGGCATGCAGTCTAAATAAACCAAATAAACAAACAATTATTCCGCGTGAATCGATTCCCATTTTATTAGAAAATACTCATATAAATAAAATGTAAGTGATGTGTGTTTAATGATTATTTTGAGTAAATTATTTATTACTATATTATCTAATGAAGTAAAACACAATAAATAATTAGTTAATATTATTTAATTCAGTTGTCAAGCACAAGTTCCTTTTATCAGTTATAAGTCGTTTTACTGTTAATGTGAGGACCATTGATACTGATTAAATGATACGATCAAAATAGATGGAGCGTTGTTTGTATTTCGAGACAAGATTGTTAGATTGAGATTAGCCGTAACGTTTTTAGCGTTAAATAAATGTATGTTATATCCAGCACTTTTAGTCATTTTTCTGTCCACTTAGTGGGTCAGCACTGCATATGGAAGTGTGATTTTCAAGCTTTTAAAGATATCCGCAACTATCGACTATGAGCTACTAGTGTGGCATGTCGTATATGGGTAAATTCTGCTACCGCAAAAGGAAAACTGAATTAGACGATATGAAAAAGAACATGGAGATGATGGTAAATAAGGATTTATTTGACACCAAAAATAAATCGAATAAGATCTGAATACTTCAATTTTTATATGATTATGTAGTATTAAGCATAACTTAACTAGTAACTTAATGTGAACGTAAATCTACGATATTATACAACCACGAGATATGATTAACGTGCTAAGTTATGTACATGACGTATCACAGACATTTGAAAAAATTGATTTTATGTTACTCTCACTTCAGTCATTTAAATCCTTGCTTACTATATCATATCTTAGTCTAATATATCGAATGAAAAGCTCAGATATAGTGAAAAAACAGGGCTTCAAATGAAATCTTTGATGGGAATTACTTTTAAATAACGAACGATGTATTACTAAATGAATGGGGAAATGGCCGAATGCGGTGAATACAACACTTATTTTACAGTGAAAGGGCCATGGTTAACCTCATCTATTGGTTAAACATAGTGCTTGAATTGCTGAACTGGTACTCCATTTTCACGACATTCTAGTCTATAGGTTTATTCATAAATACGATTATTTAATCTTAAAGCTGTTAGTGTATAGTTGTCATTTTTTGTTGGATAGCTATCAACTGATTTGAAATGGGGAACATACATAACCAACAGTTTATTTTGTCTATAATGTATATAAAAGTAGAACTGAAGTGTCTTCATGGAATACTTGTTGACATGAATTTCTTATCAGTTAGTATAGAAATACTAGGTGATTGTTTTTATCAGTCGGTCCAAGATTTTCCTATAACAGTACTTTCTGGCTGGAATAGTCTAAGTATGTCGATTAAAATTTTATTTCTGTGGAATTTTCTTTGCTCATATCACTACTGATATCTTAGTGTTCATCAAATCTTATATGAGTATCCCATACTAATATTCTCATTTGATATATGTGTCCAACTGAACAAAATAGTGTAAGTGTTTTAGGCGAGTTGCGTAGTTTTAAACATTCATGATTCCTCATGAATTAATTCTTAGCAATTTACCATTAAAATATTAGCAAGTTATCTTAATGACATAAGTTGTTGATTTATTTATATTACATTACTTTTATCATCATCACCATTAATTTAATTCCAAGTTACTTACTAAATGAAACCCAAAGTTGGACAAAACACTTGTTCGGTATTGTATTTTGTTTCGGGCTCTTGTAGTTGATATCCACTTTCAGTCGAAAACTGTTTCCAAGTTAATTTTCTCTGATATTATATGATTTAATCACTTATGTGATACTGAAGTGATTTTTCAAAAAATAATTGTTAGTTGATTAGTATCATGTTTGATTTTTTTTAAAGACGTAATTTAGGTGGCAAACTTGGAAGTGCTGTTGTTAAGCGATTGAAAATTGAGACACTTGGTCAGCTAAGTTCAATTCCATTGTCTGTGCTCACAAAAGAATTTGGTGAAAAAACATCGTAAGTTTTGTTAGACTACTTCATTAAATGTTTGCATATTTTTTTCTACGAAATTTCAGAATCATGTTTATTTATTGAAGTTTTTTTAGCCTTATCAACTCACTGTCTAAATAGAATAAATCAAAAAGTAGAGCTAACAGTTAGCCGTATGATCATTTATAAATGTGTTGAGTGCTTTAATAAAACAAAACTTGACTTAGTAATACCATAGAATTGGCGTTAGAGGAATATGTTTGGATCATATTCTTACAACTTGTTCATGTTCTGTCATTATCCTGATGACTAGAAGCACAGACTTCCCACCACGATTCCCTATCGAACTCCACCTAGAACAATCCTTTACAAATGTTTCCGGTTGTTATTCATTCTTTTGATATCTGCTCTCAACGAAATGCATTATTCGGCCTTCCTCATTTCCGTTTCCCTTCAGGATTTCAAATTAGCGATTATCTCGTGATGCAGTCTGATGATTTCCGCAATGTATGTTCTATCCACGTCCAACATATATTTCCTAATTTATTCTTCGGTTGGAAGTTGGTTTGTTTTCTCACACAGTACGCTGTAGCTGATGGTATCCGATCAACGAATATTAAGTATCTTTTTGATGATGATTGAAGTAGTTCTCGAAGTTCCGACTCTGTACAGCAGAACTGTCATGATGATCTCATCGAAGTTTCTGCATCAGATCCTCCTTGTTTATCGACGTTGCTACCCAGATATGTGAACGTTTTCACCCAATTCTGAGCTTCATCATCATGTGTGATTGAATTGGTGATCTCTCTGTTGTATTTAAAGAGCTTTATTTTTCCCTTGTGTATGTTGAGGCCTACTGATGCAGAGGTTGCTGCTACAATGGTTGTCTTCACCTGCATTTGTTGGTGTGTGTGTGTGTGTGTGTGGGATAGAAGAGCTAAGTCATTTATGAATTCCAAATTGTCTAGTTGCATCCAACCTGTCTATTGTATCCCATGCTTCCCCTGAGACGTGAAGATCTTCATAATCGAGTCAACCACCAGAATAAAGGGGAAGGAGGGAGAGTAGACAGACTTGTCTGACTCCTTTCCTCACTTGGAATGTATCTGTCAGCTGTCCTCCATGCACGACATTGCAGTGTAGTCCGTCGTATGAATTCCGGCCAATGTTGATGATTTTCTCATGTACACCATAATGTTGAGGAATGTTCCATAATGTTCTCCTATGCACACTGTCAAAATGCTTTCTCATATTCAAGGAAGTTCCACTTAATTGATTGTTCAACGATGATGCATAGTGTTGCGATTCGGTCTGTGCACAACCGATCCTTACGGAATCCAACCTGTTGATCTGTAAGTTGATTGTCTACTGGATCTTTGATCCGGTTCAGCGACACTGTTGAAAACTTTCCACGGCACTAATATTGGTTTGATTCTTCTGTAGTTTTCACACTTGCTGAGATTTTTCTTTCTAATCCATCGGAACTTGTTCTTCCTCCTGAATCTTCCTGAATAGATTATAGATAACTAAGTTCAAAAATTTCTAATCCTGAGTTATCTAGTACGTTGCTAACACTTCTTAGTCAACTAATTGGTGGGTTCTTTAAACAATTCTACAAGAAATAATTTACAACCATGTAGCAAATTGTTTGATAACATCGAAGCGTTATGTAAATGGTACTTACACGCTATGCTACGTAAATCATGGAAATTGTTCTAAAATTAACTCCATTTCAGTCAATAACATAAATGATAAAGGTAAAATAATGAGAATGATAGGGAGACAAAATTAACCATAATAAAGTGGGTTAAAACGTCTGGTGTGAATATTAGTGTTTAGGAAAAACAGCACATTACAATATACTATTTTTTTTTCTTACTTAGTTATTATATTGCACCTTAATAGATATTATTTGATGAGGTTATAAGTTTACTTTACTAAACTCATTTGTATTGGTTGTTTGGATCTTCCCATCGGTGTTTAGAACCTCAATTCATCAGTCCCTAGATATCAATAGGACGATTCAAATAACCAATAAATTAAACTTCACCCTACTGCACAAGCTAGTGGTTATCTGTATTTAGTAGCTAAATGTATAACATGATTGTGTTTGAAACGGACCGCACTTGGTTCAAGTCCCGGGGTAAACATCAACTTTGTTGTCTCCTTGCCTCCTTGGGATACTGGTACATCTAGCCGATGAGTTTCAAATAGAACAAAACGCGCGTCCTGGTTTCCACTGCTAACCTCCATCTATCTCTGCTTATGATACTTTATTGAACATTTAGAAGAAATAATTCTCGTATCATGGCACATAACTAAACAGTTCATTGATTTTATTTTCATTTGATATAAATTTTTCATTTTGTAGAAAATGGCTTCATGACTTATCTCACGGGATTGATCATGAAGTGGTTACTACTCGATCACTTCCAAAGTCTGTTGGTTGTAGTAAAAATTTCCTTGGACGTGCAACACTTACATCAAGTGAACAAATTAAACGATGGTTATTATGTTTAGCTGAAGAAATATTTGAAAGATTAGATGTTGATTATCATCAAAATCAACGTTATCCTACTCGATTAATTCTTTATGCACGTACAACCAATGATCCAGGATACATTGGTGGGATATCACGTACACTTCCATCTAATCTTTTACAATTCATTGGTTATGGAAATCGAAGTATCATAAATAATGATGATGGAAACTGTAGTAATACTAGTGATTTAGATAATAAGTTACTTAAGTATACAAGTCAAATTGAAAAACTTGCAAATACTGCTTTGATCATTTTAAAGGAAGTCCTTTTTAAAGGGGAAGCTCCGGAAACATGGTGAGTTCTATTTTTCGATCTAAAATTTGTGATGAATTTGAATTAGATTTTCAATGTAATTCATTATTATTACTATATTTTAATAACTTTACGTAACAGTTTTGGATGCACGTAAACAGTTTCTTGTAGTCTGTTTGTTAGATTAGCATTTTAGAATAATCAACAATGCGTCCTTGATGAATAAAGCACTGTATAACAATCGTGTGAAAGCTGTATGTGACGATTTCACTCCGATAATATCATGCTAATTATATCAACAATGAAATATTAGGATTAGTAGCATCAGTCAGTCAGTCAGTAACAACGTGGAACTTCGTACGTACGTACATCAGTTCGAGTTGCCATACCACATTAGCAAAGAGATTCAGTTATCGATTCAAATCCCGTAGTGGTAGAGATACTAAAAGTATAAGTAGTGATAGGGAACATCATGGTTTGATGATGTTATTTAAGGAGTATAGTCCAGTGGAATAGATTTGGAAAGAAAATAAAGGACATGGAGAATTCAGAAGATTAGAGTTCGAGAGAACACAGAGAGTGGATGCACCTGCGCCATTGCAAACGATTTTCAGCCATGTCATTCAAGGTCTCTAACCATCGGTCGCTATCATCTCGCGGTCCCCAACCAGGTAGTCTACACCTACCAACATAGTTCAGTCCACTTGTCAGTGTCATCATGGATTTGTGCCATGTTTTGGTCTGGCCGCTCCTAGCTTTCTTCCAACCTATTCCTACACCAGAAAACATAGCACGTCGTGGCAGTCGGTGGTCTGGCATGCGCAACACATGTCCCAGCCATCTCAACTAATAAGTTTCACTACTTCATCAATTGATTTGCCATCCTTACCTAGTACCCGTTTCCTAACAACTGAGTTACTTACTCGGTGGTCCCAGGATATACGAGCAATGTTTCGAAGACACCTATGATCAAATACTAGTAGCCCACGAATATGCTCTACTCTTACTGGCCATGTTTCACTGCCATAAAGTAGGACAGAACGAACTGCTGCGCAGTAAACACGTCCTTTAGTTGATAGACAGGTATCTCGCCTACGCCACAAATGACGCAAGTTGGCAAAGGCTAGTCGAGCCTTCTGTATCCGTACTGAGATTTCGTCACACACCAGACCACAAGGGCTGATGAGACTTCCGAGATAAGTGAAGCGGTCGACACGCTGAACTACTTCACTCCCTATCACTAGTTCGGGTGGCGGTGCGACCCAATCCTGAAGCAACATTTTGCATTTCGGTCGGGAGAATCGCATCCCGAAAATGCTTGCATTGTTGCTTAGAGTGGTCAGTAAACTCTGCATTTTGTCAGCGTCTTCACCAAATAGAACTATGTCATCGGCATATTCTAAGTCAACAAGTGGATCTCCCGGTAGAAGTTCAACTCCTGGAAATTTAGATGAGGAAAGTGTTAGTTCTAAAAGTACGTCAATGACAAAGTTAAACAAGAACATAGAGAGTGGACAGCCCTGACGAACACCACTTAAGGTAATCAGTTCTGATGACAGTTCGCCATAAGCTCTCACTCGACCAGTTGTGTTCGAGTAGAGAGCCTTTATAAGGTTAATGTACTTCTCTTATACTCCTTTCAGTGACAAACACTGCCATAGAACCTCACGATCAACTGAGTCAAATGCCGCCTTAAGGTCGAGAAATACTACGATTGTGGGTCGTCTGAATGTGTGTCTATGTTCTAGGACCTGACGTAGTGTGAATATCTGGTCTATATAACCACGTCCAGGTCGAAAACCAGCCTGGTTTTCTCTAGTTTGCATTTCACGAGCTTTGGTTAGGCGTCGAAGTATTATTGAAGCTAATATTTTAGACACTATATTAGTCAAACTAATTCCTCTGTGATTGTCACAGGAGGACTTTTGTCCTTTCTTATAGACTGGCACAATCAGTGATTAAGACCAGTCAGATGGGATTACGCCCAGCTCCCAGATTCTACCCAAGACCTCAGTCAATCTCGCTGCTAATACTGGACCACCATCCTTAAAAATCTCTGGGGTAAACCTGTCAGGGCCTGCTGCTCTCCCACGCTTCAGATTTCCTATAGCTTTTTCAACTTCGTAAAGAGTCGGAGGACTTACATTAATTTGCCATTCAGGTAGATTGGAGATCGTGGGAAACCGAAGTGTGGCTGAAGGCCAGTTGAACTGATCCTTAAAGTGTTCTGCCCATCTATTCAACCTCCTGGATTGAGAACGAATAATATGTCCTTCTTTTTCGGAGATTGTTTCGCTAACAGTTGGCTTCCTAATACCGGTTTCTTTGACAAGTCTGAACAATTGTCTGCTGTTACCTATTACCGCTGCCTTTTCCATCTCTCTTGCTTTCGCTACCCGCCATTGTTCACGATCATTGCGTAGGCTTATTGCCAGTTTACGCTTAAGCTGACTCCACTCTTCGTTATGTTCAGGGCCAGATGGAATGACTTTTCGAGCATCTATCACTGCGGTAGAAGGATTATTAGCATAAGGTGGGAAAGTTAAGTTTACTTGATACCAGATGAAGGCAGCACAAGTTCATGATGTTATTGAGCATTAATTTGAACTGTTCTGCAGCACTCAGGCTTCCTGATAGGGATCTCCAAGATAATTGTTAATCCATAGTAAAGGAAGATCTGAGGTCAAATAGTTATGAATCAGTTATAATGTTTTCGTTAATTTCCCTCTTTATTCTCGTCCAACTATTTTACATCACTACATAATTTCCATTTTTCGATTTTATCCATTATTTTTGAACTGTATATTCATTTTGTATACTTAGCATTTATTGTTAATTGATTAATTTTCATATTGTTGACTTCTTATCACTTTGATCATGTTGAATTATGGTAAATTTGAACCAAGCTGTGGTTTGATTCCTTATTGGTTTATGCATCCTAATTTTCTTTACTGTCAGACTGCTGTTTTCGTTAAGTTAATTCGCTATTTGCATTGGTTATTGTTTGTAAATGTTTCAATGAGATAGAAACAATCATTGGAATGAAATAGTTTTTATTATTGTTCCTTTATTTCATGGAAGTTTTTTCTATTAGTTTCTTAGTACAAACTATTAACCTTCGTTCTGACATACATCTTATCCTAACAAGAATAACATAAATTCCTATTTACAGCTGGCCTAATATAAACTATTCATACATTTGATTCCTTGGTAATAATATTCAGTTTGGTACTGTATTTACTACTTGGTACAATTAATTATTTTACAGTTATTGTTAGTTTATTCAACTGTGTTACCCAAGTTTTTCAAACTATATATTACGAGCATGAATCATGTAGAATACCTTTGATCTCGTTCATGTCAAAGCAAATAGATAAACCCAATGTGTGATAGGTCAATGTATTTAGGTTATTATCATAGGTTTCAAAACGTATTAATATTACTAACTTCTTTATATTTATCATAAGGATTCGTATTTAGTCATTATCCCCAGCTGCTAAACTAGGCAGTAAGTAAACGATTAAAATTAAACGAGGGTCTTATTTGTGGTTGAAATATAGTCTTCTCGATTATCTTTGAATCATTTGAGTGACATACGATCTTAACAATTACTTCGAAGTCCGATGATCAAGTGACACTATTTCGAGGTTTTAAAAAACATTGCCTTAGTATTCTGGTTTTTAAACAGTATACGATTGAGTTCATATATATGGTTGTCAGTCATAAACTTTTTGTCAATATTGCCCGTGTGATTTAATATCATAATTATACATCAGTATGAATAATTATGTTAACCAGTATCCTTTATACCTGTTGAATAAGTTAGTGGTTATCGTAACCTATCTGCTCAGTGTATGTCTTTGTAGTTCGGAAGGGTAGGTATTAAGTTCGAGTGTTAGTGTGTAGAGCACTTGGATGTAGGTATACTAAATTGATACGTCCCAGATAGAATAGAACGCGCGCATCTTGGATTTTACCGCCAATGATAATCTCATAATGTAATATTTACATCATAAGTCGATTATATGTACTGGATAACTTCTTAGTATATTTTTATGAAATAGTTTATTGTAGTCATTAATTTTTACTGACATTGGTTATTATGAAATCTACTTTTCTGTTTAGGGATCCTGGTATAAATTGTTTAGGTCTTTCAGCTGGGAAATTCTTATCTAATTCCTCTACTTCAAATGCTGATATTCGATCTTTATTACAAAAAAAACAAATAGAATCTATAAAAAATGATGCCGTTCCTCAGCAAGAATTAATGGAATCTATTCCACCTGAAAAGTCTACATCACCATCATTAGTTAAATTGTCTTCTGATAATGATGTTAAAAATGATACAGTCAACATTTCACCTGATAGAAAACGTAGTTCTAATGATTCTACTATAAATATTGACACAAATAATCTTTCATTTTTTAAACGTTTGAGAGTCGCTGAAATCTCAGCTCCATTTCATCCAACTCCATTGATTAACAATCCCAATAGTAATAATAATGCAAGTGAGAATAAGAATTTTTTATTAGTAGAAAATCAAAGTGGAAAACTCATTTCCAATTCAATAATAACATCAACCGATGTCCCATTGCATCAATCATTAGAACAGAATAAATCATCCACATTAGACGATTCATCTTATTTAGAAGTTGACTCAGAATCACGTCATTCAACATCAACAAATTCAGATTCGTCTAATTTTTTCAAATCATATTCAATTGGTGATTGGATTATTTGTGATAAATGTAATTCACGTATATCTGTATGGCAATTACCAGAACATGAAGATTTTCATATAGCTCAACGTATACAACATGAATGGTCAAATAAGGAAATCAATATAAACACAACATCAATAGAAACAACGTCATTAACAAAATCTAATGATACTACTAATTCAAATCAAGTAAATAATTCATTAACAAATAAAATATCTTCCAATCAAAAATCAGCTAAAATTAAATCTAATTTAAAACAATCAAAATCAATAAAAAAACATCAGAAATCAATTAAAGCTACTCCTGGAAGTTTAGATAAATATTTTCATAAAATCTCTTAAAATATATATCTATATATATCAATGATATAAATATGTATTGTATGCTTTTTAAATGTTCAATGGATTTCCAATTATCAATATTGTTAATTATATTAATTTTTTTGTTTTACTATTGTACTTCTCTGATGTTTTTGTATAAGAGAAAGATTATGATTTAATGTTGTTTCTTTCCATGTTTCATTTTTCTTAGAATAATGATAATTTTTTTTCAGTATTCTTTTATTACTGATGAATGTTTCAAGTCTTTTCTAAAAAAGTGATTGTACTATGTTCTACTTATAAAAAAAATCAATACAATAAAGCTTGTGCTTTTCAGGTTTTGTTTTGATTCATTTAAGCACTTCGAATTATGTCACTCACTTGTTTATAAAGGTATTGAATACACTAGATTCAATAAATATTTCATTTACATTAGCATCAATATAAATAACCTAGTTAGAGGGAGATAGTAGGAAATTCCTTAATTTATGATTTTCATAAATGTATTTGTAGTATACATTATCAACTAACTTCAGCAAGACAATTATAGGGCTTCTGCTTAATTCTTATAAGGAATTCCTTGAAAGTGTTGCAATACAATTGGAACTAGTGAATTCTAACTGCTGAATAATAAAGTGTCACACACTGAATGGAAATTGTCGGATGACACTACTAGTTCTTACTTCTACAGTTGACATCGATTTTTGATGAAAATGACCTTTAAGTATATGGTTATGCATTCCGTTTATCTTATATGACACTATTGATCTATGATATGTTGTAAAAAGCTGGTGGAAATTGATTGTGATTACATTAGTTAGAAGTAGGTATTTCCTTTGTATCGGTAATTTTATCATCGGATTTGTAAACTTCAACAGTTTCAGCTTTACCACTATCAGTATCATGGAATATTTTAACAAAATATTCAAATGCAAATGGAAAGATTTTTAGTGCTGTTAATTAAGTAGGTAAATTAGAGAAGAGTGAGTAGTGAAGTCACTGAAATGACTTAATAATTAAAAAACTCATCTTTCCGAGTACTTTTTTGATGAGAAGTATTCTATTTTTATATTCTCTAAATTTTGATTAGAGCCGTTACAAAAATATACTGGCAATTATTTTGTATTAAAATTTTTATTGGGGATATAATATTCTTACCTAACAAGTCCTCTTACTTTTAGGTGTATCAATGTGATTATTCAAAACCAGTTTTTTGTATGTAGTTTAGTCAAAACATTTATGTATTTCTCCATGAAGTTTATCGAAGTTTTCAATTTAATAATTCTGAAGTATATCGAAATTTTGAAAGAACGAATCATATTGCATATGTCATAATGAATAGACATGTTAATAATAGTACTTCAAAACAAGAGTACCAAGTATTTTCTCGGAATCACTGACTAGTACTAATTGTATGTAGTCTAAAATCAAATGCATATATATATATATATATATATATATATATATATATATATATGCCTTGCGAAAGTATGTTTGCGTAAAAGTTGTCTGAAAAACGTTCACTACAATCATTCACGAACTTTAGTTGGTTGATAAAGGATGTGTCAGTATATTCTCTCTATTCTCACCCTAAAGTGGTTAATGTCTAAAACTTTGGCAAAAAGAACCTAAGTTACTTACGAATTGCTAGTAGTTCAACTTTCAAATTTGAAATTTGTCGTAGAGATTGGTCTCTTTAAGATTGCGGAGTGATTATCGCTTAATATTTTTGAATTTAACTCATGAATCTTAAAAAAAGTTATTATTCCCCATTGGTAGCTGAATTTATGTTTTGTTTGTTCATAGAAGCATTTCGCTTTTGAAGTATCTCGATTGTGTATACAAACATTTATTGAGATTGATATGAATGTAAGGTAAATTTACACTAACTACTCTACAAAAAAGCAAAACAAATGGTTAATTATTTCTAAATTATGATGCTTTATCTCTTTCCTTAATCCCATCACTCAATGACGTTATGTTTCTGATTAAATTCTTTAGTAAATAGGAATCAGTCACTTAGTTGACAAATGATTTATGGGATGAATAACAGTTTTCTGATAAAGAGAATTCTACTTATTATTTGTAAAATCCAATACAATGAATCAATACATTAAGTTACTTTATCTAACGACCACATTTACGGTCTGACTGTTATTTTTAAGAGTTAAACAATATGACTTTTATTAGCATTTATTGTTGGATTTATCAATTCTTAGCATATGAAGATATTATACTTGAATAGATAGCGTAATATCACAAGGATTTTACTATCTCCTATTAATAAAGCGATTATATCTAGCGTTTCAGTAAACGTATTTTATCTATTTGGACAGAATACTAACTGTTATCAGTTTCAGTGTAGTGGTGTAAACACAAGATGCCTATAAACCTAAGCAATTGTGGTTTGAATTTATGCTCTGCTTAAAATTTAACAATGTTTCTACATGAAAATAGACGCTATCTTAAAATTTAAAATGAGTTTTAGACAAAACATCACGTTGTTTTTAGTCTACAAAATTGACGAGATTTTAACAGGGACGTATACAGACCTATGTAAACATGTGTATTTCCTGTCAAATATTGTTTATGTAAATATTCTATATACACTCCTGTAGAGTGAGATGTTGACGGTGAATGAAACGACTGACACATAACTTGTTTTATCAATTACACTTGATTTGAAAGTTAAGTTCATTTATGTTTCTTAATTATTCATCATAATATAAACAATTTCAGTACATATTTTCTTCTTTACTAGTTAAATTACTGAAAACCAATTTGAAAAGTATGGTAATCAGATAGAATATGGGATTATTAAAACTTATTGGGATTGTAGACTTTTGTTTAAATTAACTTAACTTATCAGTTCTTCAATGTCCTATTTTCTCTAATAATTTAAAGAAGCAAACAAGTTTATTGTGTGTGGTCATTAGTCATGGTTATGTATTGATATCCATGTATCAGTTCTTATCAAATAAACAAATCACATTTGAAATTTTCTGAATCCCTGTTAATTCAGTATATTAAAAGTATCATGTTGTGTAAATGTCGTATATAGGATGAGTTTTTGGCTAATTAACAGAACATTTAGACTATGAAGAACTGTAAAATTCATGGTATTGAATGCCATATAAGGTGGGTGTCAGAAATAGTCGTTTATATATCCTTGCATACTGTCGCTAGGTTACGTGTTCAATATAAAAGTGATTAGTTTAGTGGTAGAAATGAATACAACATAAGATTAGAAGTGGAAATGTAATAAGACTGAAAACGATTAATTCAACTCTTGAAAATGGTTCTCACTGATATGTTGAGACAAAGTGCAAGAGATCCAAATATAAGAACCATATAATACGCCAAAACTTATATCTGTGAACTGTGAGTATTGTGGCTTATTTACTGATTGTAGCAACCAGAACTGAACTGTTTTTGACATCAAGGAATACTTCAATTAGACAACCAATGAAAACCAGAGAGCATCTCACAATATTTTTTTTACGGTTTAAAATGTCCAATAGTGACAAATTTTGAAAGAATTACCACAGTTCCAATGAAAAACTGTGGCTAGCGGAATTCATTTATGTTGAAAATGAGATGAACATCATGAAAGACATTGAATGGCGGTAGCATAAAATCACGAGTTCAATGAAGTTGAAAATATCGACCATTAAATGCTAATTCAATAGTTTAAAGTCGAAGGGTTAGCCGGAATATCTAGAGACCCTGTGTTAACCAATATCAGAGCTCTAGATAAGAATTTCTGAAGTCTCAAACTTAAGTGACATGCTTATTTATTTCTGATTACCTCTCAAGTTATCTATTTTAAATTAGTTCATGATATAAACAGTACCTTGCTTGGATGATTTTCACCAAGATCCCACAATAGTACTTGATCTTAATAAAGTATTTCCTACCGAACGAATTGGATTTTCTACGACAGTAATTTTGTGAATAAATATTTCATTTTAATGTAGCACTGGCTATTTAGAGTTGCTGTGAAATAGGATGTATCTTTTTCAAATTAAAAGTAAATTAAACAAATTGGCGAGCTACATTACTTTAGGCAACTTAGATTGAATGATCAATAAATTTAAGGAGGCTATTAAACCATGATCTAATATTTCAGATTTTACAATCAACTATTAACAGTAACTATTATCAACAAATTATTTTATGAAAGTACTGGATAATTCTATACATCAAAAATCATACAAATAGTAATTATATTTTATAAATAAGTTTGTTAGTATAAAGATTGGTTGAGATTAGCTAAACAACATCCCCAAGTAGACAGAACCATAAACACTTTAAGGCCCTCAAATGCCATGGTACGGTCAAGAGTGGGGAGAGTCCTCTCTCTCTCTCGAAATGCTCTCAAATGGCCACATACATACAACAACTGCCAGGAAAGTCCTTCTCGCGGAGGGGGTGTTATTTGAGAGGACGAAAAGCGAATGTCTGGCGCTTTAACCGGGTTGATGGATACGGAGAGTTTACCTAGGGGAGTTGGAAAACCCTGATTTCAAACCAATGATGCATATGGGCTCCAGGATCATGGCGTGTGAAACAACGGTTGGTTACCGGCTACCATGGGACTGCATCTCCTTGCGTTACTCCACTGCCTTGTGGATTAGACCTTTAGGTCAAAGGCTCGGGGTGTGGCTCCGTAAGACAACCACCTGCTTCAGATTAGGCACCCGGGCAGTACCTCAGCTCACATACAAAATGAATTATTTATGTGGTGCATATCTTTTTGATGCCTTGTTGCACCAACATTTGTCTTTAAATAAATAAATACCCCATAATCGACAATTTACGTAGGTTTCAAACTGAACAAACAACTGAAATTTCTTGATAATTTATTAAGTCCAATAATAAATTGACATTTTGTACAGTCAAGTTCTCTCACTCATTTATTTGATTGAACTAATTTTTCTTTTATATATTACTATCATTGAATTAACTACTTCTATGAATTTGCTGTTCATCTTGTTGTGCTAATGAGGTATGGCAGTTTAGACCGATGCGTATATGTGCCTGATCTTATGCTGTAGCTGACTAACTGACTGACTAATATATATAGAAAATGTTTATTATGTTGTAATTAGTTACAGTGATTATGTAATAGAATATTGATAAACACTAATAAATTAAATAGTTACATTGAAATCACTCTGTAGTAAATTATTTCCTTTGTTTTTAATTTTCATCTATTAATTTAAAATAGTTTCCAAAATGAAAGTATGAACGCGTGTCCTCGATTCCACTGCTAGCCACTATCCATCTTTGCTTATAATGCTTGTGAATTAAGACGATATCGAGGCAATACGCAT